ATGAAAATATGACCTTTGACACCTTTGTCTAAACTTACAAAGGAACGTACGTCGACAAGTTTTGCTTTGCCTTGTTAACCTCTTGTACACCAAGAGCAGTTTTACCCCAATCAGTAAGAAACACTCAGATCAACATGGCTAAAGATATCAAACAGTATATCACACCCCTTTTAATTAGTGTGAAATATATATTTTCTAATTATCCAGATTGGACCGATCTGTGCCTTCTGAACGAGGCGTTCACATGAAAGTGCTTCATGCACAGGCATATTTAAAGCATTTGCATCTAATAATTTCTGCACCTCACTGCACCATGCTTTACATCTCCCTGCAAGGATCTACTAAGCACTTCAAATAAAATTAACTTTACTGATGATTTCCACCGAATTATGAACTGAAGTGAAATATTCATCACCTCTCACCCACATTATCTCCTCATGAGCAGTAGACTGCTGGACTCAGCTTCTTTGCCATTATGCCTAAAGATTATAGCGGCTGTTATTCAAACCAGTCTGTGCAGTGGGTCATTTTCCTGCTCGATTGTTCATTTTATCAGACAAATCAGCTGCTACAGAGTTTCTATGAAAATAGAATTCTGCAATTTCAGGGTCTTAGAGGACGGAGGTTTACCACAGTTCAACACCAGGGCCTTTGCTTATGGAGTCTTTAGGATTAAAAGTGATCAAACGCTGTGTTTGTGTGTGTAGCTATATGCGTCTGTGTGTGTGTGTGTGTGTGTGTGTGTGTGTGTGTGCGTGTGCATGCATGCATGTGTCTATGTGTGGTGGGGTGGAGAGGGCTTTATGCCCACCAGCCTGTCTTCATATTTTCATTTCACTGGATCATTTTATCATGTCTGATCTATGCACTTGATGAGAAATCTGTGCATGTAGGTCAGAGATTAAACTGTGTGTGTGTGTGTGTGTGTGTGTGTGTGTGTGCATGTGTGTGTGTGTGTATTAGCAGACAACAGAGACATTTTATATCCCTGTCCTTGATACATTTCATTACTTAAACATAATGGTTATCTCCCAGATAGAGATTATCGCATATTTATAAACAAATCCATAGGTGTGTGTTTACATTGTGTACGTTTGTGTGTGTAAATGTGTATGCTCTTTGTCTTTGGCTGCATTCTTATTCCTTGATTGAAAGCCAACTTTTGTAAGCTTTCGATCTCTCTCTCTCTCGCTCTCTGTGTCTCTGTGTGTGTGTGTGTGTGTGTGTGTGTGTCTTTTTTATGGTTCAGCTCATCGTGTTGAAACACTCCTCACATGCTTCTCTTTATGACTAAGTCAGGTGGTTAGTTAGTTAGTCCTCCTCCATCAGTGGGTCTGCTCTCAGGTTAACTGTATCAGCCTTAGACTCAGACATTCAAAGCACGTTTCCACTTACACAGCATTACAATATTTAACATTCAGCCCACGTAGGACTCTCCCCCAGTGCTGCTAATTCTCATTCACATCCGCACTGACAGCAGCCACTGAAACCTCCTCCTTCCTCAACCATTCCTTCTTGACTCCTTTATTTTCCATCCTTGCTCCTTCCAGTCTTCTTCCAGTCTCATGTTCTATAGAGGACAGCTTGGTGCTTTCTGTGCTGTGAATGGAAATGATCAGAGGTGGGCAGAGTTAATCAAAAACTTATCTCAGTTAACCCTAAATCCATTAGCAGAGACATTAACTTTGATAACAGTTGATCTGTAAATGTTGTTCAAAATAAATGGGCGTTCATGTTAACATTGGAACCTGTTGAATGTGTAGTGGTCCACTCTCTAAACCTGCAGCAGCAAAGAAGGTCTCCACAATCCAAGTCCAGTAAAATCTTAATCCAAACACATCATATCCAGACGGATTAAGGATTACTTCAAATTTACAAAGGCTGTATGACCTTGTTTGCTGCAATCCATTTTACCTTGCTGGAGTGTATTTGGATCAGTTGGGTTGATAAACTGCCTGTGGGTAAACCTAGTATGCCTTCATTGTTGCATCAACTCCTGTCAGTCAGCAGCAGGCTGCCACGGGTTGGCAAGAATTTATAAACCCTTTCAAAAGTGCCCTCTTCAGTATGGCTGCTAACTGAAAATGATGATTTTTAAGGAAAACCTCATTAAACAGGAAGTCCAGATAATGACATTCATAATTATTTGAAAACAAACAAACAAACAAACAACACTGTCAGGTATTGATGAACGGATGTGTGCTCAGCCCTGGATATGACTTATTCATGCCCTGTCCTCTGTATTGCAGGACAGGCTGTAGCTCCACCTATTCTTCAAAAACATAGTGAGAGTCCAGTAGCACATCTGTGTCCAGGAACTGTCAGCATTTGTGACTGGAAGACGACTGATGGAAACAAATGTTTTACCATAGTGTCAACAGGCAGAGGTTAAAGATTAATTCAACACTACACAAGCCATCAGGTTGTCGTTGGGGTTGTCTTGTGATTTAGAGTTCATTGCCATTTTGTGTGTGTGTGTGTGTGTGTGTGTGCGCGGGGTTCTGAGTGATCGGAATCCATTATAAATCAATCCACCAAAGGATTAAAAACATTAAAACAAAACATCTAATTTGCCTTTTTTGCTAGCTTTAAGAGATGTTAAATGGAAAGAAGAAGAAATATACATTTTTAATTTTGTCATGATTTGCATGCTGATGGAATCTAACCATTTTGCAACAGTGTCAACAGGTGGACGTGAGATGTGTCAGACAGAGAGTGCAGTACCATAAATCTGACATTTTCCTTGTTTTCTAAAGCCGCGTTCAGACCAAACGCGACCAGGTCGCGTCGCGTCGCGTTGGTCGGTCAGGTCGCGTCGCGTGGTGCTCTGGTGTGTTCACACCGGGTCCAAAGTTGCAGTCGCAGGTCGCGGCTGGTCGCCGGTGACGTCATCCATGTCACTAGCTCAGTTTTCAGTTCATCAGTGCTGCCGCATATCTGTACATCCGCAGTAGACGCCGCCGGCGTTTATGGGTGCATGAAACCATCCGGAGGAGGACGGAGCTGGGTGAATTTCACCGCTTGCTCCAGGAACTCCGCCTGGACGACGGCCGCTTCCAGCGGTATTTCCGTGTGTCGACGGCGCAGTTCGAGGACCTCCTCGCCCAGGTGGGAAGCAGCATCTCCCGCCTGGACACGAAATACAGGCGCTCCATCTCAGCTTCGGAGCGCCTGTCTATCTGTCTGTCCCTCATATAAACGTCTCTAAGCCCCTTCCACCGCTTGCGGCACACATCCACTGCAAAGACACACACACACATACGTTGAAACATGTAGCCTAGCAAGCAGGGGCAGTTAGCTGGGTGGTAGCTAACGGATGTGATTAACTGCTCCTCCATTGTGATTCTTCTTCTCCTCTTCCTTGTTTCGCCGGTTTGTTGACGTCAGCAGAGCCCTGATTGGCTGTCGCGGCACAAAGTCGCTCCCAAAGTTCAAATATTTGAACTTTGGGAGCGACGCGACTTGGTGTCCTGCGACCTCGGCGACGCGACCTCGGGGACGCGCCTTGGCGACCGGTCGCGCATGGTCGCGTCGCAGGAAGCCGGCGGTCGCCAAGTCGCGTCAGGTCGCGGCTGGCCATAGACTTTGCATTGGGAGCCGTCGCCAAGTCGCGTCAGGTCGCGGCTGGTCTGAACGCAGCTTAACAGGTAATGTTTACCATATGCTACACCAGTTGTTTGTCTTGCTATGTAATATGAGCCACAGGGTTTTTGGTGGGTTTTCCTGAATTACCATAATGCCTCATGCTTACAATTCTCACAACAAACAGAAGAAAACATGGTTACAACAACATAACTTATGCTGATGTTTAGGCAACAATTGCAGTTCAATTGCTTAAGATATAGGGGCACATCTATGTACCTTTCACAACCTTACAGCAGGACGTTGCAATCAGAGGATATGCTCAATGCATTTGCTAATATGGTTACATGATATCAGTAAATGGCAAAGGCACAGATCGGTCCAATCTGGATAATTAGAAAATATATATTTCACACTAATTAAAAGGGGTGTGATATACTGTTTGATATGTTTAGCCATGTTGATCTGAGTGTTTCTTACTGATTGGGGTAAAACTGCTCTTGGTGTACAAGAGGTTAACAAGGCAAAGCAAAACTTGTCGACGTACGTTCCTTTGTAAGTTTAGACAAAGGTGTCAAAGGTCAGTTGTAGTGCAGGAGCAACAGGAGAAAAAGTATGTAGAAAGGTGTCGCAGGGGCGCGTGGAACAACCGCATATGTATATCAAAATGGTTTTATTCTTATTCAGTGCTCTATGAACGTACAAACACATCTAATGACATATTTTCATCCATGGAAACAGTGAAGTTTGAATCTCTGTTTACATGTGCAGTTTTACATTAAAGCTAATGATCCAGCGCTTAAAGAAGCTGAAGTCTGTAGCTGCAGGCGCTCCTCATCAGAGCAATAACCCTGATCATAAAGGCTGCTGGGATGGGACTATAGTGAAGTATGGGGGGGGGGGGGGGGTCGTGCAGTGTGCAGAAGGAGCTGCGTGAGGGGTTCGAATAAAAAGACACACCCATACTTTCTATCTATCTATCTATCTATCTATCTATCTATCTATCTATCTATCTATCTATCTATCTATCTATCTATTTATCTATCTATCTATCTATCTAGATAGATATGTTTAAAATCTACTAGAGGGCCCTTAATAGAAAATGAGACGGATGCAGCCTCTCCTTTGAAAGCTGAGATCCAGCTGAAGTGCATGCATTAGATTAGAAACTGTTTGATGTTGAACAGCATGTATTTACTGATATCATGTAACCATATTAGCAAATGCATTGAGCATATCCTCTGATTGCAACGTCCTGCTGTAAGGTTGTGAAAGGTACATAGATGTGCCCCTATATCTTAAGCAATTTAACTGCAATTGTTGCCTAGGCATATCAGTAAATACATGCTGTTCAACATCAAACAGTTTCTCATCTAATGCATGCACTTCAGCTGGATCTCAGCTTTCAAAGAAGAGGGTGCATCTGTCTCATTTTCTATTAAGGGCCCTCTAGTAGATTTTAAACATATCTATCTATCTATCTAGATAGATAGATAGAAAGTATGGGTGTGTCTTTTTATTCGAACCCCTCGCGCAGCTCCTTCTGCACACTGCACGACCCCCCCCCAACTGTCATTCAGCCACGTGCGCCTACCGCCGCCTCCCACCGGCGAAAAGCACGCGCTGGAATCTGCGGCTGGGATTCAAACTTTGCCCGTTATTCAAAAGCAGCAGCTTTCATCGAAAGACTGGATCAGACTGAGAGGGATGTAGCGGAGGATTTAACCGGACCAGCGAGGGACTGAGTGAGCTGTATCCGCGCCTGGACGTGGATTACCACCGTCTCCAGCCGTGGGAGATTTTTTTTTTTCTCTGAAAATAGGCGACTTTAGGCTCAGTTTGCTGCAGGTCCGCCTGCCCCCGCTAAGAGATGTTAACCAAGATGCTGGCTGGTTGAAATACGAGCTCCTGTCTGTGTCAGAAAATTGCCAATTTTCTCCCAAACTGCGTTTCCCCCGTAAATAAAAAATTCTCTGGAGCTTTTTGTTGGATAGTCAGAGTCGACTGTCAGTTGTTAATTTGTTGGTGATAACGAGAGACGGAGCTGGACACCGCCCGGACCCGTTATAAGGCTGCCGGACTAGGATTAAAGCACCCAGCCCTGCGTACTGGCGGCTGGAAACTGCGCACATAACCGGGAAATGTGGAAATTGTATCTGTGAAATAGGCACCATTTAGAAGATTAGCCACATGCCTCAGAGCAGTCTTTCAAAGATCCAAACCTGCGTGGATAAGTGAGAAGGTTATTTGCACTCAAGGACACCCTCCGTGTTGGTGGTGGGTGTAGTTTCTTTGGGTTCGGATGCACAAACTGCCCAGATTTTTCGCGGGATTGAAGGTATTTTGTCTCACAGCTTCACTTTTCTTGGCTTTGGATATGCCTCTGGGGACTGCGCTGAAGTGAAACAGCACATTTACATGGATGGCACGAGCGCTTACCTCCCTATCACTTTAACGGAGTAACGTTAATTGGGCTTTGGGAAGCGAATGGGAGGCTATCAGGAGTTTTTCAGCAGCCGCATGACCCTTCTACCCACCCACCCTTCTTGCTGAGGATCTATGTGTTAGTGAGAGCTCGTCTTAGGGTTTGCGTGGTGAAACCACCGGCACCTGGATTCCCGTTTCATCCTTTTTTTATTTTCTGCCTGGCTGGGCGCACGTCTGTTCCGGTAATTCCGCTTCTGCTGCTGCTGTCCGTTCCCACACACACTCGAACACACTGTGGTTTATACAGCCCCACAAACTACTAAGATTGCCTCTCTCTCCCCGTGTGGATGGGAGAGGAGTTGGGATACGGAGCCTGATCGCCCTTTCTGAAATCCTGCCGGTTTTTTATATGTGATTTAATTCCTCCATTAGAGGACGGATCAGGAGTGCAGGAAAGGATTCCTGGGGAAAAAGAGAAGACAAGAGGAGCGGAGCTGGAGATCGATGAAGGTAAGGCTGATTGATCGGCTGTTAATAATGCAGGGTGTGTGAGATGGCGGACCGAGCTCTGCTATGCAGCTGATTTTTCTTGCCAGGGGGTGCCAGGCTTTTGCGGTGCCAACAATAGTTTTATTCTTAGTGCTGGGGAAATGAATCATCGCTGTAATCTGATTAGACTGTGCCATAACCTCGCTCTGTGTGTGACTGCTCTCTTTTCTGTGCCCGCGTTGGCACCCTTAGTGGACTCTACCATCCTCTCAGGGTACAGATCATTTAGAACCCCCAAAACGCTGCTAAATGTGTTCTCTCCCGTGGTTCAGATGGTTAAAGGGTAATTATTAGGGTAATTATTATTATTAGGTATTAGGTAATTATTATTATTGGGTCTTACTTCTGTGCTGCGATGCTTTGGCCAGGCTGGCAGCCTCGCCGTGCCTGTATGGGAATGTGTGCGTGCTGATCTCTATCTTTGCGTGCATGTACGTGTGGATGCTCTCGCGCGTTAGTGTTAATGTGTGTGGGGGCGCAGCAGTACGACGCATTTTGGGGAAACCTTCTCTGTCTCTGTCTCACTCTCCTGTCTATCCGTCTCACTCTCAGTTTCTTAAGCTGCCTCATCATGCCGCTTCAGTTGACTGGCGTTACAGCCTCATCTATTATGCAGGAAGCTAGGAGATGAGAACACAAGAGAGGAGGAGAGGTGAGGAGAGTGGTAAGGAATGGAAGAAATGATGGAAAGAAAAAGAAGAATACAAGGAAGTGGTCAGAGTATGGGAGAGGTGTGTAGATGGAGCAGTAGAGGGGGAGATGGAGGGGTGTATATGGAGGGATACAGGAGAGGACAAGGACAGAGGAAAGGATATTTCAATGGAAATGAGGATTAGGAAAGAACAAAAGTGAGATAAGGAAAGATTGGAGATGGGTTGTAAGGATGAGGGTGAAGGGGGAAACGGTAGGGGAGCAGTAAGGCTGAATAAGGTGGAAATTACACAAGCTTCTCTTTATGCAATGTATATTAAAAATGAATCAAATCTTACATAATTTCACTCAAGATGAAGAGGTTTTAACTTGTACTTGTGGAGAAGAAATCCGCTGAGAAAAGCTAAGAGTTTGTATTGCATTATGCAGGCCAAGCATTTGAGGGAGATTTTATGAATAGGTTGGATTAAATCATTTTTTCACAGATTGATACAAACAGTTCGTCCTTGGGAGAGTGCACAAGACAACACAACTGAACAGGATAGATATTCTGCCTGGTAACACAAGCCTGCAAGAAGCCAGGGTGTGTTTAGGAACTAGAGACAGCTCCACACTGTGAGAGCTTCTGTTCCAAAGAAAGATGGTGTAAAAATATCTCCACAGACATCTGAAAAGGCTGCCTGTGGTCCATGAAGGTTTCAGGCAACTTAAGCAGGACTGAGAACCGTGGAGAGCTGCATACAGTATGTCTAAACTACAGGGAGTGTTACAGAAATGGGCCTGTGTACAGCGTTCCTACTGGCGTTTGGTTAATGCAGAAAGTGTATGTGGTTTTGTATTCATGGAGGGACAGGGCCAAGTTCATCTTCAGCCTCAGTATCCTTATGAGCATGTAAAGATGTGCCATGCTATACCTTGGTTTAATGACCATGGAGAGCTCCGACAGTCTCAATGCACAACAGTTGAAGCTCCACTTTCAGCACCACAGAGAGCTCCAGCTTGATGTCTCTGCTGTGTATTCAGCTCTGCTGTTAGAGCCATGGAGAGCACTCATGGGGTTCAAGTCGACTCGCTTGGACTTGTGCCTTTTATGAAACCGGGCCCTCCCCATTTTCACTCTGATAATGAGTGCTGTCAGGTTGAAGTCATCCCCACAGCTTAATAAAACATCACTCATCAAGGGGGGAGGATTAGATCAAGCTCAGCTAGCTCAGAGACAAACTCCACTCACTGCAGTAGAATTGGTGACCCAATGCAACCATGGTTACACCCCAAACAAAAAAAGAATAGGGGTTCCCACAAATAAGTATTTGGCAGACTCCACCATTTTTCGTCAATTCTTGTTTGTAGGCATCTTATTTTCTTTTTTCTCAGTGATTGATGGTTTTCTATCTTAATAAAAGCAGCATCTGTCTGTTGATGTCCTGTGATGAACAGTAAACCATCGAACCTGGACAGTAGGCCAGCATCAGTGCAGAACGGCCTTTGAGGGGGTCTAAAAGCCCACTGCCACGCCATACACAGAGCTCTCGGATGGCTTTTGATGATGGGCTGCACAGGGACATAGATGGAGGCTCAAGGGGGCGTTTTTTTGAAAGGCACATGGGGAGCTCTAATATGGTTAGGTTGCAACTGTTTGATCCCTGTTCAGGACTATGTGAAGCCCTGCTGTTGTCACATTGGCAGTAATTCAGCCATGGTTTTGTGCCCAGCTTAAAGGGAAACCTGTATGTTTTCAGCACCATGGACATTTCCAGCACAGCTGCTGTGGCATGTTTAATTTACTCTGGATTTATAGCAACACTTTATTTAGCCATAGTTTAATCATATAAGAATATGTTTGGGGGCTCACATTTTAAAGTGGTATCATTACCTTTGTGGGTTAGTAACCATCCCCAACAGAAACTATTCTAAGGTGCAGAATAATGTCCACAAAATGAGGCTTTTGGCCTTTTGGATAGCTCTGACTTTGCCATTAAACTCCAGTATGAGCTCCAGTTTCAGGACCATGGAGAGCTCCTACACTATGTCCCAGCTTTTTATCGATCTCTTATTTCAGGACCAAGGAGAGGTCCCACATGGTCACAGTACTTTTTGCTTGGGTAATGTATCATGGAGAGCTCTAATGTGGTTATGTCACAACTGGTGAAGCTCTTGTGTCACGATCACGCAAAACCCCTCTATTATTGAGCTGGCAGTAGTCAAGTAATGATTTCGGACCACATAGTGCCTGATTGAGGGTATGACTGTATGTTTTTTTTTATCAAATCAAATCAGACTTTATTTATAAAGCGCTTCCAACATGAATGTGACTCAAAGTGCTTTACGAGTTAAAAACAAAAAAATATCAACGACAATCGGTGAGTTTTGGCCGATTATCCATTAGTCTCAACCTGGCTAAAATTGGGCGATTTAATCGGCTAGCCGATAAATCGGTCAGGCCGTAGTTTTCAGCACATGACGACATTTGACGTCCTCGACTGCGAGGGCTCAGGAATCTCTTATATGGGTTGCTTGTAGCTACCATATGCATACATTTGAACAATCTTGCTAACACCTGAACCAAACAAGGTTTAACAAAATTATGATTAACAGATCAACAGACAAACTGACCATAGCAATTGTCTCATCTTCATAGACCTAGAAATTAAAGCATGAAACCTTCAAAACGTGTTCAAACAATGCTGCTTCAAGATGGACTTGAACAGAGGGAGTAAAGGACAAAAGGATGTTGAAATTGGAGCTATACTTAGTGCTGAGGTCTGACATTGATCCAGTTCCCATGGGAAGAGCAGGTCCACTTTGCAAACACAGTGAGCTCTAACACAGTATCAGTGCCATGAATAGTTCTGTCAAACACAACCCAACTACCTGGAGTTGAGGATCAAGTCTTGCTCTTAGAAGTGTTTTGAAATCATGGTAGTGGCCAGTAACCCTGGCTGCTCTCATCGCAGAGGCCTACTGCAGGACCACAGAGAGCTCCTTGTGATTAATTGAGCTACACAGCCATTGACAGATCCACAAAGCCTCCTTCATGTTGTTTGCTGTTTCAGGCGATGAGTGCAGAATTAGCATGACAGTTTTACAGCCACTGGCAAGTCTTTATTAAGAGTATAAACAAAAGAACAAAAAGTGCCTTCGCATATCTATTAAAGTTTTATCATGCAGCAAATAAAACAGTTAGGCTGTGTTTCTTTTAGTCTGAATAATGGAGCAAGCTTTAATGGTCTCTGTGGTAGTGCAAAGAAGCTGAACAGATGCAGACAAAGCAAGAGGTCTTCATCAGTCAGCAGTGTTTGCCTTTTCCTGCCACATCAGATGAAACCAGCGTGCTGAGCATTAGGTTGATGTAGAGGGAGCAGACACTGTTGTGCAAGGATCAACCTGCAGAACATCCTGTCAGCTGAGGTGTTATTGAGCAAATACTGATTCCCAACCATCCTCAGAGTCAGTCTTTAGCAGCTGACAATGACCCCTGGCCCCCTTCTGTGGAAAGGCTTAATGGAGGGGAGAATATATGCAGTCAAATCAATAGCATATGTAACTATTGTTTTTGTGGATTCAGTTTGTCAATACTCCCCTTGAGCTCTTTCTATTATTAGAAAAAGGGCAATCATAGTTTCCAGGGGGAATTGTATTCTCTTAGGAATACAAGCTGATACTAGTTGGTGTAAGTATTAATACATGATCCATCCAGACATCTAATGACTCGTGGATAACTCAATGAATCATTCAACTCATGGGACAGTAACTAATGTATACATGTTTTCATGTCATACCCTCAACCCCCACCATTTCTTTATTTAAACTCTATGTTTGTTTAGATGCAATTGACAAGTGCGTCTTCTTAAAAAAGTTTATTTCTAACTTTTTAATCTGCATTTCTACATAAAGTGCAACTTCCTGGCTGGCGAACAGCACCCCTAAAGGTTTCTAGAGGGGTCAATCAAACCAGGAGAAAATCCAGACTTCAGCTTTTTAAGGCTACAGAAAAGACTCTTTGTTGTCCATCCACTGATTTCTTTTATTCTTCCATTGTAATGTGTTTTTGTTTGATTGAATTTTAGACTTATATTCTCCCTCAATTTTCCTGGCTCACTGTGCTTTCTCTTATCCTGAACAGTCATAGGTTGTTGCTGGTGAAATACCCTTCAAATCAGACTTAACCCATATGGGAGGGGACCATTCTAAAAGGTCACGTAGGCTCCTCTTCCCAGATAATGCTTTTTATACACTATGTCCACTCCCTTCTCTTCTGAGCCTCCTAGCATGTTTAGAGATGTGCCTCAATTGGGAAGGGTTTAGCCTGTGTTTGATTTTTCCTCTTTGTTTGTTAAATTTAGGAGATATTTGAGATTTGTATGAGTATTTCTGCCCATCAACTTACTATTAGTCTGTACTAGTAGAGGATACATGTTACTATGAGCCATGTATTTGCATGCACTCAAGGGGAAGGGCAGGAAGATAGGAAGGCAGCTGAGTTGAAAACATGGCGAGATGGGCAGGCTGGCAGATGGAGAGAAAAGCTTTTCCTCGTGCATTAAACTAGAGACAGAGTGGGTTATGGGAGAAGTTTGCAGACAGGCAGGCAGCAAGAAAAACACAAAAGCAGACACGAGAAAAGATAGCCAGCCAGGTGACATCTTATCCAGAGTCAAACTCTGGTGTGATAATAGGAGGAAATGTGTTAATGCAGAGGGATGGGGTGTTTGGTGGTGACTGTTATTGTAAGGCGAGCATAACGCTGTGCTTCACATCCCATTAGCAGAGACAGACCTAGAGCACACCCCCAGCTTCACTTCCTCCTGCAGCTCTGATGTGTTTTCCACCTTCCTGTACCTATGACACAGTTGTCAGCTGCTCTCCTATTTCAGAAACCATTAAAAGAGCCTGTGTGTATCAGCAGAGGATCCCTGAGCACAAGGTTTGTGTTCCTAATGAAGTCCAAGTACAAACCGTTATTTATGACAGAAGCTCTGCATAGTGAGTAGGGGTGGGAGAAAAAATCAATACAGTATAGTATTGTGATATTTTGTCTGGTGATATATCGAATCATCCCATATACCAAGTATCAATTTTTCTAATTAATTGCTAATATGAAGTCAAATATATGATAATAAAAAATTAAAATCAACTGTTTGTCCAGTGAGGTTGGCAGAGGTGACATCATACAGCAGGAGAAAGTTAGTGCAACAAATGTAAGGTTTGTAAGATGTACTACATGGAAATAAAATACAGAGTACAGACAAAAATAAAGATAAGACGAATGCTAATTTAGCTAAACAGTTGAAAAAACTATAAATCACAATATATTGTATCGCAATACTCACTGCATTGGAAAATGTTAAAAACCTCAATAATACCGTATTGTGGCCCAGGTATTGTGATAATATTGTATTGTGGGGCCACTAGTGATTCCCACCTCTAATAGTGAGGATCACAGTTAAAGGTACAGTGTGTATTATTTAGAAGCATTTAGCAGAACAGACTTTAGAAAGCTGGAATATGTTATTCATGAGCTATAAAAATCATTCTGTATCTGATAACTTAGAGTCGTTTTTATCCACTAGGCCATCATCTTACACCACTATGTTTTTGACCTGAGCATAGAACAGACAAACCATCATGGTTGATAAATGGAGGATCACACTCATCATGCAACTCAGGAGCCTCTTGTCCTTCAAGACCACTATAGATTCACTGATGGAGGGTTGAGCAAGGGAGCATCAAAAATATGACCAGTAGATGTTTCTGTATATTCTGGTTGGCTGATCAGTTTGGCTGATGCTGATATTGATAATGAGAGAGCAAGCTGGCTGATATTTATGCTGATATCACATTGTTGCTAACTTCAGTGACAATCTCATCAAAATCTGATATACATGGTTGTCTTAGCCAATGATATGTTTGAGGTGGATTTTTGATAAGTCATTCGGAAGACAGATATTTGAGGTTATGCTATATATTGTTAGCTATGGCTGTTATTGCTGTCTGGGAAGGATGTGTTATCATTTAGAAAAGATGATGTGATATTGACCTTGTGAGAACTGATGATGGGTATGTCAAAAAATGCCCACTATATGAATAATCAGCTGACTGATTAAAATATAGTCTTTTCAGGGCTGCGCTTGTTTCTGACAGTTTTGTGACTGCAAGCCAGACTACAACAAGTACAATCAAGTTTAATAAAATAAAAAAAAACAACAACAAACAAACAAAAAAAAAAAACAACACAAGTTATCCCCCCAAGCAAGAGACCTCAAAATGTCAGGCTGCAAAACTTTTTGCTGCTTTCTTTAGAATAAAAGTTAACCAATTGTTGTTTTCCATGAGGTGTCATTGGAAAGAAAAAGTGAATACAAAAATATATATAAAAAAAAGTTTATCAGAGAAGTACTCTAAAGTCCAGAGAGTTTGACCTCCTCAGCTGCACCAGGAAGCTTTTGTATTTTACACTATGTAAATGGAGCAAACATTTTGCTTCAAGATTTGCATTTCTCTGTCTCTGCTCTGTTACTTTCTTCGCTGCCCTGCATGAGTGCTGCACTCAGACTCCCGCTCTTCTTCCTGGTATCCAACTGCTGGCTCTGGGGTTTAGGATTTTATCTCATCACTGCTCAGTTTTAGCAGTAAAAATAAAACCTTGATGTAGTGATGGAGTTTGGGCCTCAATGCCAAACTCAAAAGTGTCCCACTGCTGCAGTAAACATCTGTGAGTCTCACTCAGTCCATTTTTGGAGATGCTAGGTGTTTTTTTTTTTGTGTGTGTGTATGTTTGTTTTTTTCCCCAAACATCTCTATTTTTCTGTGACACTGAGAGAGTTCTGACACTGCAGGGAGACAAAGCTGATATATCAGTGTAAGATTTTATCCTTAAACAAAAGTGAAAATGCTCCTGCTGCTGTGTCTGATGTCTATTTTTGGGTTACAGTCCTTGATGTTACTCCAGACTTTATATTTCACTGGCAGCTTCAAAGACGGGTAACTTTACTGGCACTTTGGCCGCCCTCCAGCCTGTCAATGATTGGACGTCTCTGTTGTTAAATGTGCTGCCAGCTGAAAAACAAAAACAGACTGAAGTGCTACTATGTTTGAAAGCTTTGCATTGAAAAATGGAAAGTTTTTTTTCCCTCCTCCTCTGGGAATGAGGTTATGTTTTGATCCTTGCAAGCTGTCATGCAGAACTGCTTCTTTCCTTTTCATGTGACTCTAAATGTGAGACAGCTTGTTAGGTTTCACTGACTGGAAGACGCACTTGGTTTCCTGTAAAGGGTTTTTACGTAACGGCACCCCCTGACCTGGTGACAGCTAAGCAGGTCAAAGGACATCATAAATTTCCAGATCAAAATGTATGACTTAAACTCCAGTGGGAATTCTGCATCCTGTCTGGTCAGAGAATTAATCTGTAGTTTAATCCCTCCTCCCGCAGCTATACCCCAATCCCTCCATCCATTCACCCATCTGCTTCTTCACCCATCTGTCCACCCATCCAATCAGACAGCTTGCTTTCCTTAAATGCATTTACTTTGCAGACATCTTTTCCTTTTTCTGCACTTGTTCTCTCCAAAGATCCTGAGACAGGGCTGTTTGGGAGGATGTTTGATGGTGCACTGCGTGCAGGTTTTCCACACGAGATATTGCAGTTCAATGCAACACAACCACGTCTATCTGTACTTCAAGCTTTGGCCCGCCGGAGCTCCTCCTTATCAGCAAATGTCATTTCCTCTTTGTTGTCTCTTGCTTTGGATCACATAAGGCATTTCCTTTTTCCATTCAGCCAACAAAGCAAGAATACTAAGAGCTCCTCTGTTACTGCTGCAGGAAATAAGGACTAAAAAATGACTGTAATTTAGTTCAATTCTCCTCTAAAGCACAGAGACGTCTGCGCCACTGTGTATTTAATCTTAATTCTTTCTCAGTTCAGAGACGATCCTTTAACGTAAAGAGGTTTAGACTGCTAGACTCCCTGCTTCTAATATGATGGAGTGTGACTGTTATGGCACTTCATCAGGGATCAAACATAGTCTTAGGTTTGGTTATTGATTTCCTCTTGCCTGAATGGCTGCAGTTAATTTGTGGTTGTGATCCAGAGTTGAAATATCCTCAAACTCCCACGCATTCAGGCTCCAAACACGCCACGAGTACTGCGCTTGAGTGTGAATTTATTTATTCTCCTCTTCTTCTCACCTCTCCTCCTCCTGCTTTCTCTCAGGTTTATTTTTGAGAGTTCTTTGGTGATGAAGGCTTTTCTAAATAGACACCCACAGAAGTGTGACCTACTTTCTGCCCAAATAAGGTGTTGCAGTTCCTTTGTTGGATAAATGGAGAAATTAAGAGTGGTGCTAAAAATAATCGCTGCTAGCTGTGCCAGAAACACAGACACTTTGAGCTTTGACAGGATCCCACTCTGTCTTCACTTGTTCAGGTGTCAGAGGAGCATCTGTGAAGTCAATTAGCAGTCATGTGATCCAGATGTGGCGGTGAGTTGATGCAATGAAACATGACTCTGATCAGTGAGTTAACGTTGTGTTTATCAAAAGTTAGCTCTGGAAATCTATCAAGTGTTCAGGAAATAAGGAGCTTGGTTGTGTTGTGATAGACAATTTTGGTTTGTTAATCATTTACACAACAGCAGATTAGACTGACCTTTTGTGACCCATTCATCTCCCTGTTGAAAGACAACTTAAAGTTTTAGGCTTTTGGATAATTAGAAAAAGTGATGTGACACAGCTAAAGCCTTTTGTTATCACCTTTTGTTCATCAGTTTTAATGTTGGCAGCTCCATAGGCTCTTTTCTGCTCCTTTCGGGTACAAAAATAGATAATAATAAAAACGCTGTAAAAAGTTTCAGAGGACAACAGATAAAGTGACAATGGAGGAGGTATCAACAATGTCTCCATTAAGAATGAGGAAAAAAGGGAAGATGGCAGTCACCATTTAGCTGTTTCACATGTGGACAGAGAATTCATGCTCGTCTGTGGTGTGAACTGTTGACTTTACTGCCTCAATAACTCTCTGTGGTACTGGGTTAGGGTTAAAGAAAAACATCTGAAATAAACGCAGATAGTGGACTAAAGGCTTGGCTTGTATCCATATGCGTATCTAGGGAAGAGCATGAATGAGCCCTAACTCTGAGTCAATCAATCAAGACTGTGAAATGTCTCTCATAATATGAGCTCTCTATGAGGCTCAGCCGTTCTTTGTTTACCGACATGTTAAAGTTGGCAGCAAATTATTCTTATTTTTTTTATGCAAGACTTGAAACTGAAAATTGACAGACAAGACATCCTGGATCTGTCTCCTCAGTGTGCCTGTTTTTTTTGTTTGTTTTGTTTTTTCTCTGCTTGATCAGTGGTTAGTTGTCTTATTTTTGTAAGCCTTTGGTAGAATTAACAGGTTAGAGTTACCATGCATGTTGCTGCCTTGTTTGACATGCCTGGTGGTCTTTCTCGGGTCTTTGGTTGAGATACACTAACATGAAGGATTGTTGAAAACTAAAACTATGAGCAATCACAGATTGCGTATGAGTAGTACATTTTTTTTTGTCTTGCTGCTGTGAATGAGTGACTTTTCTTGTGAGGCGTCAGAGCAGATCCCCCCTAACAGGACGGGAAAGATCCTCTGAATTGAATTTGAGGCTCCAGCTGATGACTCTGGAGTGTAACAAGAAGCAGCTTTCACTATTCCTCCTGCCACCGGGTTGAGCTTTCACATGTGATCTGACAGCTGAGGGATTAATGAGGGAATGTAAAGACGTGTCAAGTTTAAATTGAATAGGAGTCGGTGTGGTGCAGACCCCCTGAGAGCCCACAGTGTGAGGATACATGACGAGGAGACCCACAGAGTCAATTCAATATGGAGTCAGCATGCTCATCTCAGCAGGACAGGGATCTAGGACTCATCAACGCTCACTGTGTCTTTCTGTTTCCACAGCACTGTCCATCAAGCCCTCTCTCCTCCTCTCTCAGATTCTCCACTTATTCCTCTCTCTACATCCCTCTCTCTTTTTTCTACTTGAAGGTCATGTCTGACAGCTCGCTGATGGATGCTGCAGCATGATTTAAGAGTTGAGAGCACAATAACGTGTGTGTGTGTGTGTGTGTGTGTGTGTGGGCGCACATGCATGTGTGTGTCACACATTTCATCATGAGAAATCAAATGAAAAGTAATGAGAAACAGGCTCATTATACATTGTTATCTGTCCCCTACAATTATAAAATCAAACTAAGCTGAATTCATTTACATATTAATCGACCAGAACATATCGTTGCTGAGGATTTAAATGATTGATTAATTTTAGATCATTTATTCAGTGAGGATAAAAGAATTCTTTCCTGTGCTCAGACCTTACTTATCTGCAGACCTATTTACATTTTTTTTCTGTTTAAAATTTACTGACGTATTTCTTGCACCAGTGAAGACACCTTAAAAGCTTGTCAAACATCCTGCATCACAGACATGTTAATCAAACAAACACGACTCTAAATCATGTCAGAAATGTCTCAACACAAGCTTGTTGTCCCTCAGAGAGCATCTGTATTTTCTCACAATACAATGACCCAAAAACACAAATAACAAAAGGGAGGGTTTTGTAAAGATTATCTTTATTTCGGAGGTCAAAATCATTTCAGCTTCAAAGGAAACTGATTTTCAAGACAGAACAGAATTATTGTCTTTTCACTTTCACAAAGTGCAGACTTTGCTTGTTTTTTCCCCTTAGCATTCAGCGAATTATTTGCAGAGTATAACATTGTATTCCATTAAGATATGATAAGATAAGAAGAACTTTATTAATCCCTGAAGGGAAACTCAATTGTCTGTTGTCTCACATAATATGTCTCCAAAAGTTATATACTTTTTACACAAGGGCTATAGAGTCTGATGGCTGTTGGTACAAAAGATCTTCTAAATCTTTCTGTCCTGCAGCGAAGAGAGAGGAGGCGTCCACCACCATTGGCCCTTAGGTCTATTAAGGTGTTATCAAGTGGGTGATCCATGTTCTTGAGAGTAGTCTCCACCTTCCTCAGTGTAGATCTCTCCACCACATCCTCCACTGAGTCCAGCTTGAGTCCTACCACAGGGCCAGCCTTTTTCACATTTTTTAAGGACCTGCACCATGATATTAGTCATATATTAAGTTAGGACTGAGCGATTATATGATTGTGATTAATGATTGTGATAAATTTCAGTTTGATCACAGTGATCAGCTTGTGGTGGAAACGTGGTGGAAATGCGTGTGACAGCAGCCAATCAGTCGTGCTTTTCCTGCTTGCTTCTGTAAGCTGCCGGAGAAGTAAACAGAGCAAGTAAACAGAATGACTGAACCTGGAGCTAAACGTGGAGCTTCAGGCAGCAAAATAGATGTCGGCCATGACTTTGAGTCGTCTTCCAAAGACGACATCGTTGAGAAGAAAAGTTATTAAACGTCGGTTGTGTAGTGGTGGTTTGGGTATCTCCAAAGTCACGTTGAGCAATGAAGCCGATGTGCAAGGTATGTCGCTGCCCTAAAAACCCGCAACACAACAAATCTGTTTAATTATTTGAAGAAGTACTTCCCGAGTGATGATGCAGAAAGCATGAAAATGTGAGCAGAGTCTGTACAGCCTGTCACTGCTGACGACACAAGTAGCATTAGCAGTTTAGCCACAACTAGCGGTGCAGCCACCAGACCAAAGCAGCAATCTATTGTATCATCTATGTTTACATAATCTAATATTTACATTTTAAGAAGTCTTCATTATCCCTGAGGGGGCGATTTGTTTATTTTGGGTCTTGCATACTTTCATAAACACTCGAGACTGTTAACTAGTTCACTGTATTATTTCGTTTTTTCTACTTTTGTTGTCATGTTGAGTTAAAATGTAAGTTTATTTTATTTAATTTGCTTTGTTATTTAGTTTTAATAAAAAGTTGAACTGATCTCTAGTTTCTTCAGTTTTTAGTACAGATGCTCCAAAACTGGCGGTTTAAAAACAGTTTTAAAAATTCGGGATAATAATCTAGATCAGATGACAAATAACAAGATATATTGTGAACCTTTTTTTTTTCTTGCCAAATCGCCCAGTGCTATATTAAGTTTGGTGAGTATCCAGGACTCTTGTTTGCTGCAGATAGATATCTCATTCTATTTGTCTCATGATAATTTCAGAGATGAAAACTGGATTCTTAAATGGCTTGTTGTATTGTTGATAATCTGCCAATGCTTTAATGCCGTAGCTGCGTATGTATGTATTTTGCACTTCAATAACCAATATTTTAATTAGGTGCAATGTTGATGTGAAATGAAATTATGCATTTTTAAAATTTTGGTGTTTTGCACTGTTTTGGACTAGCATGCATCATGCTATCGGTCACATATTGAGTTCTGCAAGTATCCCAACACTGCTACAGTCACAACAAGAATAGCTCATGATGTCTGTTTCAGCACCAGCCTTAAAAGGCCTTGTGTCTTATCAATATCCTGCTAAGATCTCTACATTCTAATGTTGAAGTTGCAGAAATGCAGGTAATTTGCACTGCATTACGGTTTGACAGTTTCTTCAGTGGTGCAGCAATAATGCGAAAAGCAGCAATTCAATTTTGCAAAATGTGATCTCTGAATGTGTTTACTATGAAAGTGCATCCACGGTCGTGTTTGTCTTGTGCAAACAGTGATGGGTTTTGACTGTATAGTCTCCTCTTTTAGTGTTTTATACTGCTGGTTGAGCAACTGAATATATTTAAGGATATGTCACGTTGTACCTCAGGAGCTGATGGTGGATTTCTACTCTAATTTTCTAACATTTTAAAGACTATAGAATGAATGAATGATACAAAAATCACTTTAAATCTGTAAGTGAGGTATTTCAAAGTGTTCAAATCAGTCTGTTTTCCCCCTGATGATGTGTTGGACCGTCATACACCTCCTAATGTAGCTCTGTTGGTCTGTCATGTGGTGTTAAGGCTGCTGCTGGCCCGCTCCTGCTCCTGCTCCTGAATCATGTGGAGTCCTCCCAAAGGCTGAAATGTGTGAGTGCGTGCATGCTTGTGTGTGTGTGTCCGTGTGTTTGTGTGTGACAGTCCCCTTCGAGATTAAAAGACTTTGGATTTTATAGGCAGAAATACATGAGCAC